AATTTGATCAAAGCACATATGAGTTCACTTTTTTGAGTAACACATATTCAAAACATTCTCAAACAAGCTTAAAATCAAAGTGTTCCAACTTTTGCAAATTAGTCTATACTTATGTGCAACACATAGTAAGGTTAGCCTAATAATCGGAACAAGAGTACATATTGTAAATAAGAATCACATCATAATTAGTAGAGGTCGATCTTTGATCGGGCGAGTAGGGTGCTCAATTTATGACCTTCCCCTTTCGTACCTAAGTTCCCGAACCGAGACACTCTTGGTGATGACAGATAAGTGGCCTTTGACACGAGTCCCGGGTTTCTTAAATTTTCCAAAAAATATTTAGGTGACGACTCTGTATCTGGTAATGTAGTCCATTTTTGGCATTTTGATTCAAAATCAATTTTTCAAAGGATTTGTCGGATTTGAACTCATTAGTGTTTATGTATTTTACATTACACTTGTGAAATCAGATTCTAGGGAGTCCGAACTGTGAGGTTAGTCGTATCCGAAAGAAATATGAAAAGTCAAGCCACACCTTTGCACTGTTTTTTGTGTTTTTCTTTTTTCTTTTTATTTGTTGATGTAACGTTTTCATCATTATCAACTAATATGCGTGTGTACAATTTAAATAAAGAAAAATAAAATAAAATAATTCATTACATATTGTGTTAATAAGTGGTAACGTAAGGTTTTAGTTTCAAGTTTCACTCTCTTCTCTTTTCTCTTTTTAATTTTTTTTTAAAAAAAAATAGAGAAATGAGAATTCCACTTGATATAAAGAGGAGAAAATGCTTCAGGACAATCCCAACCTTTACTTTATATATAGTATAGAAGTATAGATAAATTTTCCATTTTGTCGATTTAAAAAAATAAAGTTCTTTGAAGAAATTACAAAAAAAATTAGAGTTTGATACTTATAACAAAATAAATTATAAATTTTTAATTTTATTAATTTAAATCTTTATATTTTGATTTATTTTCAATTTAAACCATTATCATACTTTTGTTAAGTAAAATCAAAGGGAAAAGATATTATAATCATTAAATTCAAAGTAAGTGTATATAAAATGTCTAAAATACTATTTTTTGTTAAGTTTAACAATTAAAATATTTTTAATCAGTTTTATTTAACATAAATATATCAATGGTTTAGATTGAAAATAAATAAAAATTAAATAATTCTATGAATACAAACACTTTTATTAAAAATCTTACTGAAAATGCAAGTGGCCAAACATGATTGATTGTCCAAAAAAAAAAAAAGTAATGAGATTTGAAAATCAAATAATGTTTAAACACTTACTTTTACTAGGGTTAGAATATGTAGCATCGTTTGTAAAAACATTTATGTTTAAATTAATAAAATTAAAAATTTAGGATTTATTTTGTTATAAGGGTAAAACTCTTAGCGCTTGGTAACGTTTACGTTTTTTTTTTTATGTTTACAAAAATTTTATAAACTGATTTTTGTTTATTTTTAGAAAACGTAAATTACAAACGCGTTTGGTTTAAACAAAATGTTTGAAAAATTTTAAAAACATAAACAAAAATATGTTTGTTTACACCTAAAATATTTATATTTATTTTTTTTATTATTTATGACAATGGGATCATACACATTATAATTGAAAAATTAATTGGGAAAAAAAATTAATTGAAAAACAAAATTAATTGAAAAAAAAATATTTAAAAAAATTTATCTTAAAAAAAATTAATTGAAAAAAAAAATTTGTTAGTCAAATTTTTAAATTTCTGTTTAAAAATCAACGTAAACTCATTTTTTGAGTTTACTTTTTTCCCTCAAATTTATAAACTGAGACAACTATTTATAAACCAAAAAAATTATCAAACATGTTTTTATGAAAATTTTTAAAATTTTTGTAAATATAAATTGAAAACTAAAACAAAATGGTCATTTTCGTTTTTTTTAGTTTTTTTTTTTTTGTGTAATTGCCCCAAATTCTTTTATAACATGTGTAATATTGACATTTAATATGAATTAATTATTAGAATAAATATCCAATTAATGATTGCATTAAGTGGTTATAAATTTAGCATAATTTTATTCTCACTCTATTTGTTTTATGCGCATTGCTACACATAATTAGTTCACTAAATCATCCTTGGGGCTTTGTCCGTGATTGAATGTGGGACTAACGTTTTGAGTGCCTTTGATTGATAGAATTAGAGTATGAGATTGATATTATTAATCTGTAAACTTAATAATTTTTAAAATTTTCTTTTAAAATTATTAATGTAGTGGATAATTAATTCAAAAAACTTGTAGGATTATTGGTAATGGGGTAGGAGTGAGATTATATATCTTGAGCTGGAAAATAAAATAAAATAACTCTTTTACCCTTGACTAAAAATTAAAACACTTATTACTTTTATATAAATTTATATTTTAGAAGGCTTAAAATAATTTTTAAAAATTTAAAAATATTTTTTTGATATTTATTTTATCAAAATAGTTTATATATGTATATATATATATATATATATTTTTAAAAAATAATTAAAAAGCAAACCAAACATAGCCTTTTTTATTTTTCTTTTATTTATTTATTTATAATTTTTTTTCAAAATCACGTTTATGAAGAAATTTTGATAAAATAAAGATTGTGAAGAAATATTGATAGAAGGTAAGATTGAAAAAGAAAATAAATATTATTGTAATTCTACATTCATATATTTTTTTATCCAATATAAATTAAACAATGAACAATGGGATAATTTATCATTGCTACATGGGGAAAAAATCAAGTATATCACACTCATAAAGTTCTTAGCCTCCGTTTGAGAAGTGGGTTGACTTTTTAATTTTTTAACTATTTTACCTTGGGGCTAAAAAATCTGCTTTGGGAAGGGCAGACATGTCCTAAAATGATATTATTATCCAGTATGTTGAATAACACAGTGGGACAGACATGGCACAAAATGAAAATAAACTAACAAATACCAAGGGGTTTGTAACTAGCTAGGGGTATTCTGGAACTAAAAAGTGATTTGATGTATAAGTCATTACACCCAAGAGATTGGCTAGATATGCTTCAAAAAAGGATAAGCTAGAGCAAATAATGAGGATGTTTGCTTAGATTTTTTTGAGTTGACTTATAACTTCAAAGTTTAGAAAAATTATTTTGAATTGTTTGATTAAACTTATTTTAAATAGTTTTTAATTCTAACAATTTATTTTAACTCAAAAAAGTTAATTTTGAGAAACTGTTCATTCCTTACTTCTGGTTATCAACTTCTGCTGTGAACATATTAATTTACAGTTATATCCTTAGATTTTTTTATTTTTTATTTTTTATTTTTTTAAAGATAGAAAAAGACCCAAATAGACTATAGATTATTATTATTATTATTATTATTATTATTATTATTATTATTATTATTATTATTTATGAGAAATGTAGACAAATAGTGAATAACAAAAGATAAAAATTAATTGAAAAAGCTACTTCATACCTTATTTAACAAACACTACTCAGTAATTTAAATCTATAATTCAATAGCTACACTAAACAGATTAACAGTTTCTGACTAAAGTCATAATCTATAATCTATTAAATTATAATTTATAATCTGTTTTAATAGTAACACCAAACGGAGGCATGTTGACAGATTAATTCTCCTTCTCTCAAGTGAATGTCCTGAGACGAGCAAAATTGGAATGATGATAAAATTTAAATCTGAAAGTCAACAGATCTTCAATTTTATGTCTCTAGTTAGATCTTAGCTGTAACTAGATTCAACTCAATTATGGACTACCAGTGATTGTCGGAAATAATCATTTTGTGGGTAATAAATGAAATGATATTGTTCTATTCTCAATTATTTCTATTGAAGATGAACATTTATTGAATTTGTAGATATGGCATAAAAGAATCAACTACCTTATCAGCTCAAAGGCCAAATGATTATAATGAGAAAATCTATACCTTTATTTCAATATGTAAGTGCATCCATACATACACATTTAAATTTATATATACAATATACACATATTTTCTCATCCATAACTCTCTTCCATAACTCTCTTCCCTGTAAGTGATTTCTGCATGAATTCAAACTGCACCTTCAATCTAGATAGAACATTGAAAATATTCATCAATTTCAATTGAAAAAAGGACAATACAACCACCTCGACTGTACGGGGAAGAAATAATTCTCCTCGTATAATCCTGTTGACCAAGTCCACGCTCCTCCGTACGACGTCGCTTTGTCACCTGAAAACACAAACGTGAGTGTGTGCCGGATACCTCTCCGATGCCTAAGTCAGAAAACTTGACAAATAGACAAAGCTCTAGGTTCTCAGAAAGATTGTGTTCAATTACCTCCTCCAAGGTGATGTTTGTGAGCTTTTATAAGTTTCCCGTGGCACAATCCTAGTAGGACTTGTACTTCTCCATGCAGAGTCCTCCTAGGATTCATTCTCCTAAGGATAATGCTTATCCTTTTACACCCTCCCCCACTGCTTAAACCAAGTGGGATGGTTTTCTTCATGGCCGAACTACAACATGACCGAAATAACACTGGCTATGCTGAGCCACATAGAAGGCCGAACTATCCTTAGCTCGGTCTTCTCCACTAACTCATTACTTCGGCTGCCCTTGTTCAACCTTGGTGTGCTTAGATCAAACTTCCAAGTAGCAAGTTCTGACTGACTTAACCAGTGTGTCACGACCGGACTAACTTCGAAGTCGGTCTTCCCAGAACATACAGCGACCGGACTAACTCTGAGACCGGCATAACTCCGAGTTGTCTCTGGACCGGAGTAGCTTTTCTCCTCCTTGGGCCGAAGCAACTATCTCTTCTTGAGTCGGAATAAACTCACCTTCTCGGGCCGAAGTAACTTTGTCTCCCCAAGGCCGGAGTAACCTTGCCCTCTAGGCCGGAGTATTCAGTACGGCCTTTTTACCTAGTCCTCTGCGTTTTGGGCCTCAAAACCCAACTCGACGCTCGGCCCAATTTTTCCCAAAAATTACCCTCTGAATAGATGAGAACCTTGTGGAAAGCTTTGGGTGAATGTAGTTTGGCCAAATTTCCATTAATAACTTGTTCAGCCACTCACAGTGCTCCAATGGTGTTTCTGGCTGTTTAAACATGCAAAAGGATGCAAATCAATTTGATGAAGCACAATTGAAATTGATTGAAGAAAAGAAAACCCACCGACGTAGTATGACTTGCTTCCATTTTCTATTCAAATCCTCTACATGGATTTGTCGTTGATAACTACTATACTGCAGATGAAAAGAATGAAATTTTATGTCAGTGCATTTAAATATCTACCATAATAATCCTATCCTTTCATTCAATGATATCCAGATCATCTGGAAAAGAGGAAAGCAACAGAGATAAAAAGAACAAATAAATAAACTCTATCATAGGCACATGAATTATTTATTTTCAAAAATTTTTCAAGAAACTCCGTTATAGGATTGATTCCAGTGTCACAAGCAAAGCAAGAACAAGAACCTCAAAAAATCAGCTTACTGGTTTGGATTCAAGTAATTAATATTCAAAAGCTCTACAAGATAGCTCCCAAATGTTGCAAAAATGGCTAAGAAAGAATGTTCCGGACCTATTCCAACATTAAGACCCATAATAAAAGCATTCATGTGAGGCAAAAAGCATATTTCAACATGGAAATGTAAGCTTCCATGTCTCAAAGTGCAAGAATTAGGGCTGACATGTTCCTGGATGTTGGCATATCTCTTACAATAGTAGAAAGATTCATGCTCAACTTGTAATATTGACTCAGATGATGTTACTTTAATTAAAAACAAAAAATAAAACAAAACAAGAAAAGAAGAAATTACCGACAGACTCATCAATGGTAAAATTTTGAAAACGTACATATGCAGATTTGAATTAAGGGCATTCTGTGCTCTTTGAGAATTAAGTTAGTGTTAGGTCTACACAAAGAGCACTTGTCAACTCTTCTGACACATCGGCCCACCCACATGGATTGGACCAATACTTAATTATGGCTTTTATGTATATACTATTTAGGGTATGGAATTCGCTACTCATTGTCTTCTATTTTGGCATTTCCCTCAATGTTTTTAGAAAACACATTTTTTGGGTGATTTTGGAACTAATTACATTAACGTTGTGTTTGGTTGAGGAATTTAGGAAGGAATTTGAAAAGGGAAAGAAAAAGAAAAAGGGAAAAGGTGTATGAAACTAAGTAAAATGTAGGTATATTTTATTCACATTTCACCTATTTTTTCCTTTTCGCTTTCCAAATCCCTTCCTAAATCCCCAACCAAACACAGTGTAAAAAGACCATAAAAATTTATCTTCATTTTCATCATGCAACATAGTGCTCCCATCTATGCAGTATGTACACATAGGGGCCCTCACGATTGAGTAGCCTAGCTAACCCATATACGAACTACATCGAGCTAATTGCTCCAATGAAATCATACCTGTGATTTACACTTCACAGACAGCAAGTAAAAACAATGTCATAGAATACTGTAATGGAATACCTATTGTAGAGTTCTTTTTACAATAGCATAAGAATTGTGAAATCAGAAATAAAAACTTCCAAGATTAACTTAATCAAGCAATACAATGAATTCTGCGTCTGCAAATGTATTCAGTTTTACAAGGCAAAAGATTTCTGCTCCCCCTCCCTCCCCAATCCACTGATTCTCCAATAACGCTGTTGAACCTCACTAAATGCCTGCACCTATTGCTGAACTTATATCTAGTGGAGCTCTATTCATAGAACAGTGTGGTACTTTCTCCCTTTGGTCGCGGTTGTCTCTATCAAGGGAGCTATGTTGGGGTGACTCGCCAACGATGACATGACGTTGCTCTACTACATCGGTGCTCTATTCGTTAAGGTCTGCAAGGTCTTCATGCCTTCTAGGGAATGCTGGACCGTTATCTTTGGTTCTCTCCGTCATTGGAGTCCTCTCTGCTAGCCTAGAGTGGGGTGTGTCTTCGATTCCCATCGCAGAGTTTGTCACGAAGCAAACAGTGGTTTTCCCACAGACGGCGCCAATTGTGCGGGGGTGATTTCCGCACTATGAAGAAGGGTTGTTGAGTGGTTTTTTTAACATGACAATATGGCCTCTTGTATTGTAACTGTGCGGGGGTGATTTCCGCACTATGAAGAAGGGTTGAACTTCGTGGATGAACACCATGCTCCGGGAATTGAAGATCTGCACAGAGTAACAAACGGTGAGGCTGCCCGACCGGGGTTTGGTCGGAAACCCCTCCGATGGTAAAGTCAGGGACTCAGGGAGAGGAAAAAGAGAGAATACAAAGAGTATATGTGTTGAGTGTGTCCATTTTCGGATCCCTTCTGAGTGAATAGTGTTCACCTTTTATAGGAGAAGGTTGTTTGTCGTTCAAGTCCTTCTCCCTCCGCCATCTGTCCAACGTGTCTTATTCGTGGTTGTCTCCTATTGGAGGAGGACGACCACTCCGCCTGACACTCGGGTGCAGGTCTGTTTTGTTTGTCTCATTAGCGGACATCTCTCATTGGAAGAGGACGACCATTCCGCCTGCCATTCAGACGCAGGTCTGTCATATATGCTCCTTGTCCCTCTGCACCTCCATGTCTCCACGTTATGTTCATACAGAGGGAGAGGAGCAGAGTTGTTTGTCTCTAGTGGACCCAAGAAAGATCTTCAGTGAATTGGCCTTCTCTAAGTTGGTCTGCTCTAGAACGGTTGTCCAACCAGGAGGTCCAACATGTTGCTCAACCCACTTCGGAGTGGTTTTGTCCATCCATAAGGTCCAATATGTTGCTCAACCCACTTCGGAGTGGTTCTGTCCATCCAGAAGGTCCAATATGTTGCTCAACCCACTTCGGAGTGGTTCTGTCCATCCAGAAGGTCCACCATGTTGCTCGACCCACTTTGGAGTGACGCTCGTACATTGGGCCGAACTCCTATGATTGTCTTACTTCGGAGCAAGTGTTGGCCATAGGGCCGAGGTCCGACCTAGCTCCACCTTGGAGTGAGTATTGCATTGGGCCTAGCACCAAGACTTGATTAATTTTCACCCACTTCAGTAACCTCCATTTCTCCATTGAAAGAACTTCAGTTGGAAAAGTGCACCAAATTTTACGACAAGTATAAATCTACAATCTCCTTATTAAAGAGAAACAATGTTAAATAGGTGAAAATTCAGTCAGAGCGACTCCTTGCAGACATTGAGCTCTAATGGATAAGAATGACAAAAGGAAACTGAATCAGAAAAGTAACTTTACGGGGTCAGTGGCACATGGGATGTGCACTAGCCTATAACTTTTATAAGTTTCAACACATCACCTAATATTACTGAATTTGGCAAATCATGAGGAGAGAAAGAAAACAAAATATACGTATACATACATATGCGTAAAGATAATTAAAAGGTAGCTATGGAAGCAAGAGAGAGGAGCAGGAAACACACAACACACACAAACACAAAAAAGCAGACATCAAACTTGGAGTGCCCATCATAATGGCCTAATATTCATTAAGAGATTATAATTGCAACAGTTTTGAATAAAAAATAAAACCAATCAAAAAGAAGAGGAAGAGAGAAGACCAAAAGCTCAAACCAACAATCAGACCAGTCTATATAAACTCAAAAAATCATGAGTACCAAATTCATAATATTATGAGGAAAGAAAGCAAACTAAAAATATGTGGGATTTAGCATATACATACACACATATAATTGAAGCGTAGATATGGAAGCAAGAGGAGTAGGGGAGAGAGAGAACTTGGAGTTGAAGTGGCCATCATAATGGCCTAATATTTATTAACAGATCATAATTGCAAGAGTATTGAATCAAAAATCAAATCAATCAAAAGAAGAAGGAAAAAAAGAAGAGAGTAAAATAGAAGAATGGTAAATCCAATTACCACACACCAACAATCAGACAAATTCACAATTTCAAAATGAGGGAAGATCATAATGTCATGAAATGAATAAAACACAACTAGCTGTTTAACAAAAGCATTGGAAATTAGAGAAAAATTACCTGGATAGTTGCCCAGACAGTGACCACAAGAGGAACCCAATTGGAGAAAGAGAAAACCCGTTTCTCAATAACCCAAACAACTAATATCAGAGGGAGTATGAAAAGTAGAAGATGCTTTTCCACCAATAATTGGGTCAAAACCTCTACACCTTTATTCAAATAAGAAACTATTTTCTTTCTTTTGTCCATTTCTGAAACAAGATTTCAAGTGAACCTCACTTCTTCACATAAAACTAAACCCAGTTCTTAATTTAGATATTATGAAGATCAAAACAAAGTCCAGAACTTGATTTCCCTGAAGCTAAACAAGAAGAGAGTAAGTGGATTGTAGGGGGGTCAAATGCTTCAAATGGCCAAATGGGTAGCCAGAAAGAGCCTCTCTCTCTCTCTCTCTCTCTCTCTCCCTCCCTCCTCTCTCTTACAGCGTCAAAATCAGAAGGCACCGTTAAAGACGAGGGGTGTTTGCTTGGATTTTTTTGAATCATTTTTTTGTTTTTAATTTTGAAAAGTTATTTTGGTTTATTTAGTTAAATTTAATTTAAACAGTTTTTTATTGGAAGATTTACCAATAAATCCTACTTTATAAACTGTTATATCAAATAGTCCCACTTTTATTCTATTATACCAAATAGTCCTGCTGGTGTGTTGATTTGGTCCTTTTTGTTTTTTTTTTTCATTTTTGTTTCACTCTGTGGACAAGAGTGCCCTTTCATTGATTTACAAACTGTCATTTTTGGTTCACTGATTTGGTCCCACTTTCACTCCGGTGTGGCACACCCTCAGAGATTCGCGCGTGTGTGTGTGTGAGTGTGTGTTGAAGCCATCTGTGTGTCTGCGTGCATCAGTGTGTTTGAGAGGGCTTGACCATGTGTTTGTCTCAATGAATTCGAAGACGTTGAGAATCTCAGATTCATCCCCAAATGCGACCATGTGTTTCACCCCGAATGCATCGATGCTTGGCTCAATTCTCATGTGACTTGTCCGGTTTGCCGAGCCGATCTCGTTCCTCAACCCGGTGAGACTCTGCAAATTCCAGATTTCAATCTCCAGATCGATGTTCCGGAGGAAACCTAGAACCCCCAAAACCCAACCGATGAAGTTTCGATCCGGGTCGTTGAAGATCCGGAAGAAGACTATCTTCCTCCTCCTCCTAAGGCGCTGGACCGGACCTAGAACCAGAGCTTTAACCAGAACCGTCCTCCGAGATCTGGGTCAGTGCGGTCCAGACTATTCGAGAGGTTCCCCAAGTCGCATTCGATGGTGTTCCATCTGTGTGTCTGCATGTATCAGTGTCTTCCATCTGTGTGTGTGCGTGTATCAGTGTGTTCGATGGTGTTCGATGTGTTTTATCTGTGTGTCTGCGTATATCAGTGTGTTCGATGTATCAGTGTGTTCGATGTGTTGAAGCCATCGCCATCACCCTCGGATGATGATGTGTTCGATGATGTTCGATATGGAATCACATGTGTTCGATCTGCTGCTGTGTGTGTTAATGGCGTCTTGTGTCTGCTAGAGAGAGGAGCTATGTGTGTGGCTGGGTCTCTATGTGAGAGAGAGAGAAAGAGAGAATGCTGAGAGTGAGAGAATGCTCAGCCCAAATAAAAACCCCTTACAGCGGTTTGCCATTGTGTGACGCCATGGCAGTGTATCACATGCAACACACCACACATCCATTTTACTAATCGCGCACGTGAGCCACACATTGAAGCCCCCAGCCGCATCAAATATAGGATACATAAGGGTAATTACGTCCCTCACAATTAAATGGGACTAAACGGTTTAATAGAATAAAAATGAGACCAATTGGTTCATAAGTTCAAATTTTGGAATTTATTGGTAAATCTCCCTTTTTTATTCTAATAATTTATCTTAGCATAAAAAAATTGATTTTGAAAAGTTGCTTACCCTTTATTTCTATTTATCAGTTGTTGTTGTGAACATATTAATTTACGGTTATACTTTTAATTTTTTAATTTTTTATATTTTTAAAAATAAAAAAAAGGACTCAAATAGACTATAAATTATTATTATTATTATTATTATTATTATTATTTATGAAAAATGTAGACAAGTAGTGAATAATAAAAAAATAAAAGTTAATTAATAAATCTACTTCACAGCTTATTTAACAAACACTACTCAGCAACTTAAATCTATAATCTAATAGTTACAGCAAGCAGATTAACAGTCTTTGATTAAAATCATAATCTATAATCTATTAAGTTATAATCTATAATTAAGTAATAATCAAACTAAAGAAATCGTACTGTGAGATGGCAACCGGTGGTGTGAAGGAAGTAGGAGGATGGCAACCAATGGTGCATGGGAGAAGGAAGCAGCTATGGAGGTGTGAAGAGATTGACAGAAAGGATAATGCTATTTACACAGTTTTTGTTGATAACATTCCATGGTCCATGACTCCAAAGGGTCTTTACTCTCTGTTTGGAAAGTTTGGGGTTGTAAGTGATATGTTCATTCCAAACAAGATAAGAAAAGTTACAAAGACAAGATTTGGCTTTGTCAGATACGATTGTCATGTTGCAGCATCTATGGGGATCCAAGAAGGAAATGGTTTGTGGTGTGATGACAAGGTGTTGAAGGTCAAGGAAGCAGAGTTTGGGAAAGATCCAAGGGAAAAACTCAGCCGTACAATCCAAGTAGTCACCGATGGAGGAAGGGAAAGAAATACCGTAGGAAGCTTAAAAGAGCAAATGGATAAGACAGGGCTAAGGAGTACAGGATTTAAGTCCTATGCTGAGGTTGTGAACAATGACTCATGCAAAGTGTATAAAGAACACACAATTGTCGCTCATAAAGTGGGGAATGAGTGGTTGTTTGACAGCCTCTTTGTGAAGTTAAAGAGTTATCACGCTTTTTCCATTTTTCAGAAAAGCAGTTCTTGAAAAAGGGACAAAAGGTGTCCTTGTCTAGAAAGGGAGGGGAAGGATGGCTGTAGTTTCATTTAGCTCACCGGAACACTTAAAGGAGAATCAAGTTTTACTCAAAGAATGCTTGCAGGAATGGTGTGAATCTGTCTTAGGATGGAGTGAGGGTGCCCACGTAGAGCAAGAAAGGAGAGTATGGCTTTGTTGTTATGGTGTGCCGTTTAACCTCTAGAGTACTGATAAGTTCACAAAGATTGGAAAACTTTGGGGCGAGGTAATCAAGCTTGACGAAAAAACATCTCGACAAATTTCCTTTAGGTGTGGAAGAGTCAAAGTGGCTACAAAATATATGGATTCCATCAATACAGTTATTCAGGTTTGTTGTAAGGATAGAATTTTTCCTGTCAGAGTTTGTGAAGAGCAAGTCATGGTATCTAAAGTGGTTAATGTGGCATATATGTGCACCATGCATGATTGTTCCAACTCATACAAACTGGAAAAGCTGGGAGGCAGCCATGGCAACAGCTCGGAGGATGAGACCGATGGGGTGGTTGGAGTGGAGATGAATGATGTGGCAAGATCACAACGGAATAAGGTGGCAATTGTTGACAAGGTGGCAATGATCAAGTTAGTACGGGGGAGAAGGAGAAGAACGGTTCTAATTCCTCTTTTGTGGGGGAAACTGTTAGTAATTATTTCGGAAACATAATGGTGTCAGAGGCATGCAAAACTCAGACAGTTGAGGAGGCACTAACCAGAGGAGTAATGATATTGGAGAAAGTGCAAGGGTGGAGAAGGTTACCACGTCTGGGTTTATGAAAAGCCTAAGTGGGAATGGGTGTGAGGAGCCTGGAATAAATATTCAAATTCTATTGGGTAGGGTCCAATTAGCAAACAGACTGCCTAAGCCCAAGTCTACGCCAACAGTGATGGACCATAATCACAGTATTAAGAAGGGCAATCAGGCCCTATTGGGGTCTATTTTCTCATCACCTAAACGCCAGCGCACAGCCATGCGTGGGCTATTTGTGGAGGAATCAAGCAAGGCCAAACTCCAAAATAGAAAGATTTTTAGATCTAAGCAAGCTTTTGCTCCAGCAAAATGAAGCAGGGGAGGAAGGTATGCTCGGAATAAAGGGAAGGGATTAAGAGGTGGAGGGATGTCAATGATGAATAAGTGGTATAAAGGACCAGTGTTTAGAGTGGCAGCATCAGCTTTTTCTCGTTCAAGTTCGAGTGAGCAGCATTTAGCTAGAGTGATGAGCATATTAGCGGAGGCCAGAGAAACTATAAAACTGGGTAAAGATCTGGGCATCGATTTTGATAACAACGATGAAGAAGCTATAAAAAGAATTGTTGAGCTCGAAGAAGATAATGCTCTGAAAGTTGCGCAGGAGAATGATGTTGTTCGTAATTGAATGGTATTATATGGTGGTCTCGGTGTTTTTCTTAAGTTTTAATAAAGCTGTTGTCGTGGAATGTAAGGGGTTTAGGGAGACCG